TGTGACGTGCTTGTCGCACGATGGCCGGAATCTCGACGATAATGTTCTAACATCGGTTAATTTTCAGCAGGGATTTTTTGTGAGGAATTCTTGAGAAGGTTTGAAACGGTATCCGAGAGGCTCGTGACGGCCGTGACGCGAATATGAGAAAGTTGAAGCTATCAGATATTATAGTTAAAGCTTCGTGAACAGTTTGGAGTCCCAATTCAAAGAATCTCAATCTGGTTCTGCGTATTGGCGAAAGAGCAGTGCAGTCACAAAGAAAATGCTCCATCGTCTTTTCTTCATACGCACATTACCTCAAACCACTACGGATGAAATACACAATGGAACGTCCTGGATTCTACGACTAGTGAAACCTCCAAAGTGCAACCTGACATACGAGGAAAGGAAATCTATTTGCAGCCTGAATACAGACAAGAACATACTAGTCCTTCCTGCGGATACAGGAAACACAACGGTAAAAATGAACGTGTCAAAAATCTCTGAACTTCTAAACCCTTCCACCTACAGAAGGCTAAAGCGCAATCCCACTGCTTCTATATTGCGAAAAAGCAATTAACTCGCCCAAGCACTACCGTTGGACCCGAAAAACATAAGGAAACTAATCAAATCTGAAGCCTTACCACCTAGAATATATGGGCTCCATAAGATTCACAGAACAGGCAACCCACTCAGACCCATTGTAAGTGCAATAGATTCGCCCACATACAGCATAGCCAAATACTTCATCACCCTCCTTCAGCTACGGATTGGCCAATCTGTGGAGTCTTAACCTACTCTCGGGAATTGCCGATGATTTCTTATACAATTCTATATCTCTATGTCCCAAGCAAGCGTGTACTCTGTACCGAGTATAACGTAGCGTTTGTCGTCCGCGTAAGACAAGGCTACCCTATTTGGGTAATAGTTAAGTAGTAGGTAAAAGGTTTGAAGAAAAACAGTCTTGAAAATCCCAAAAATTCTTTATTTATGTACTACCGGTTTCGAAGCTTCAACGCTTCATCTTCAGGTATAAAAAGAATATTTAATAATAATGAGAGTTGTCAAAATCAGGTCGATTCGGAGGAACAATACCTGGGCATTAGGCAAAATTGTCAATAAGGAATGTTACCCTTTTGAGTGTTATACTCATGTCCAAAAACAGGAAGGTCGGTTGATATTTTTAGTCTTTATTTGTGAAAATGGTGTCTCTTCAGAACATGTTTTTTTCTTTCTTTTTGTTTTTTGGTTTTTTGGCTTCTTGGGATTTCTTGTTGTGTAAATATTAGTGTATATAGACGAAAAACAATGACATAATATATATTTTTAAAAAAACGTTACTAGAAATAATTAATTTTAAAAAGGTGTAAAAGGTGTAAAAGGACAAATTCACATTTTTTGGACGATGATACAACATTGACAGACTGTCAATGTTGTATCTGCCCAAAAAATGGACCACATACAATCCTTAGTAGGTAAAAGTTGGGGGTAATTAATGTGCTTATGTTCAAGACTCAACTCATTTCATCAAAAAGATCAGTGACATCGCTCTACTACCAAACGACGTTCTGGTTAGTTTTGATGTCGTCACATTGTTTACCAAAGTATCAGTGAATCAGGCTTTAAAATATCTAGAACACGTTTTTCCCGAGGAAATCAACAACTTATTTCATCACTGTCTGACGACTACGTATTTTCAATGGCAAAATGATTCTTTTAAGCAGACAGATGGAGTCGCAATGGGAAGTCCACTCAGCCCGGTTATCGCCAACTTTCACATGGAACACTTTGAACAAATGGTACTGCGAAGGGCCACAAAGGAACCTACTTGTTGGTTTCACTATGTAGATGACGCATTTGTTGTTTGGAACCATGGACAGGCAGAGCTTGAAAACTTCTTTACTCTTCTTACCCTCAGGTAAACTGGGAATCAAAGTATATATACAGGGTGGGGACTTTAACTGGAACTAATTCGCTAGAGCCTTCGGATAAAATATGTGGACAAAACGCAAAAACACGTCGATCAAGATTTTTTTTTTGAAATTTTTCCATATTAATTTTTTTATACAGGGTGTTCCAAGAACAGCTGTACGGTTATCAACTTTATTTTTCCAAATGGTAGCCCCTGTATATTATGACATTTCTGGATTCTGCTGAAAATTCTAGACATATTTCATGGACAATGTTATATACCTATCTTCAACTGTTTCGGAAATATTGACAGTTGAAAATTGACTCTTTTGCAACTTTGACAGGCTGTAAAACCTAAACAGTTAATTTTAGAGGAAAATCAGTTCACATTCCTGTCTTAGATTTTCATAAACTATCATTTGACACTAACTTTGAATTTAACTGTAGATTGAATTTAACTGGAATTTTTAATCATGGATTAAATTCAAAGTTGGTGTCAAATGATAGCTTATGAAAATCTAAGATAGGAATGTGAAATCGGTTTTTCTCTAAAATTAACCGTTAAGGTTTTACAGCCTGTCAAAGTTGCAAAAAAGTCCATTTTCAACTGTCAATATTTCCGAAACAGTTGAAGATAGGTATATGATATTGTGGATGAAATATATCTAGAATTTTCTGCAGAATCCAGAAATGTCATAATATACAGGGGCTACCATTTGGAAAAATAAAGTTGACAGCCGTACAGCTGTTCTTGGAACACCCTGTATAAAAAAATTAATGTGAAAAAAACTCAAGCAAAAAATCTTGATCGACGTGTTTTTGCGTTTTGTCCACATATTTTATTCGAAGGCTCTAGCGAATTAGTTCCAGTTAAAGTCCCCACCCTGTATATCTGGATAGATACCTCAACAAGGAATCCAATCACCATCCTAGACAAAAGAAAGGAGGCATTGAAACTCTATTTCACGGGGCAATCCGGATTTGTGAACCCAGATACTTTCAGGCCGAGATGCAACACCTAAAATCAGTATTTGAAGGAAATGGGTACTCCAAGCAGGAGATTAAGAGGGCTATTATAAGACCAACGCGACAGCGCATAAATAAAAATGTCACAGATCGCATAGGGCGAATGCTAGAAAAACACAACATCAAGCCCATCTACAAGCCCACAAGAACCATGCAGCGAAGGCAAAGATCGGCCAAGGTTCCTAGGGCAATTCTCGAAATGGCCGGCGTCTATAAAATTCCCTGCTCTTGTGGATCTGTCAATGTAGGAGCAGCCAAACCCTCTATTAACAGAACGTCAAAGAGCACAAAAAAAACTGTCAGCAGGGACAAATAGATAGATCACACCAAATTTCTATGATAATATGAAAGAAAATCTAGACAAATTTGATACTTATAATTACTCGCAGAACAACCCACACGGTCTTTCTCATTCTATTTTAGGCAAAATGAAAGACGAATATGCAGGTAAGATCGTGTGGAAGTTCTATGGGACTGGGGCGAAGGCATATTGCGTTAATGTAGAGGGAGAGTTGACTGAAAAAGCCAAAGGTGTGCCTGACTATGTCACCAAGGAAGAACTTAGTCTTAAGGATTACAAGGCTGCAGGCACGCTTATCCATCGGCAAATGAATACTTTCCGTTTGCATAAACATGATATGTACATCGAACTTAAAAATAAGGTAGCCTTGTCTTACGCGGACGACAAACGTTACACCCGGTACAGAGTACACGTTTGCTTGGGAACATAGAGATATAGAATATAGAAGAGAAATTATCGGAAATTCCCGAGAGTCAAAATTGATTAAGGCAGCTTTCGCTTCATTCACTTTCGGTATCAGTAGATGATAGAATACTTTTGGTTATAGTTTAAGATTTTTAGGTTAAGGCTCTACAGAGAAGCCATAGAGATACAGAAACAGCACAACAAATTCAATAGAAATGTTGAATCCTGGGATTCATATGGCAATCTTGGATCTTGTGGTTGTCGTAGTAGTCGGCGTCCTAGCAGAAGTCTTGATTTTGAAGCAACCTTGTCATGAGAAAGGGTAGTTAGAAATTTGTGAAGATAAATCAAATAAATTTAAATCAAATTTAAATTCAAATCTAAAATTCTTTTAATGATTCAGATTTCTCCTTGTTGACGCCTTATAACATCGTAGATTAAAATTTCACCACTAAAAGAAGTTCGCTATAGAATTTATTAAAACTCCAAACTACTTGTTTTCGCAAACACTTCATATCTCTACCCTCTCATCGCGTAAAAATCTTTATCAAACATAAAACTCAGGATTTAGGGTCTCTTATATATTTCATCTGGAATGAGAGCATCCGGTTAAATGATTTCACACCCTTAGCACGCACGTTCTATAAAAATATTAGCTTATCTGGGATCACAAGCTTCTTGCTCGCCAAGATTGATGTGCTGTAAGTTAAACGCTTTCGAAAAACATTTATCGATGTGCTCGTCGATATTTAGGATTACAGTGTGGAGAGAAAGATTAATGATAAGCTTTTTTTTTCGGGACGCGCGTTGTATAATTTGAAAGGGTGCAATCTTTTAGGCGAACAAAAAAAATTACAAATTTAAATATTATCGCTTTTATCATATCGATTTTGTTGGTTGGGTTTTTTTTTTCGATTTTGACGAGTACCAGTGCATCAAAAAAGTTACCGAGAATTATTTTGAAGTCGGAAACTATTATCGTGTTAACCCGATCACAAGGATCGCCAATCTCGACGTACGGGAAGGGATTTAGGATCAGTTCACTTTTGTATGGAAAGTGATCGGGTTTTTGAATGTTTGAATCACATCGACCCTGATAAAATGCGGGGTAAATAGGATTGGCAGCCGTCAGCTGTTTCTCTCAACCCAACTTACTGATCCGAGATCAGTGTTTCTGTAAGCACCTAGTGTGAGTGAAATCAAATTTGGAGGTTATTTTCAGGTCAACTCTGTTTCTTGCATAACTCATCTTTACGTTTTAAAATCATCATAAATGTGTATATTTATCCTGCTTTTATTACTCCATAATTTATAAGTACATGATCATCTTTGATAATTCTGAATGTTATACTAGTCATGTTTTTTTTTTTTTCAGGTAGTTCATCTGCAAAATTACACGTGACACACCAAACTGAGGTCAAGCACGAACATGAACAGTTCAGTGTCTGGTGTCGGGCCGAGCCAGGGACACAGTTGGTTTGGAAAGGTCCAAAAAATCGCCCACTTGGTGAGACGTTTAAACCTTCACAATACCTCCTTGATACATTTTTTGTTTCCTTTACAGGCGAAAAAACTATCCCGCAAGCTAGAACAACGGTACATGGAGTACAATTGAAATTCGACGATATTAGAAAAGCCGATGCTGGAAACTATACTTGTAAATCGCTCACGGATAATGTTAACTTTGAGCTAATAGTACAAAGTAAGTATGTACCCAGTCTACAGTATAGGTACCATTTATGCCCCGCTAACATTTGACTATATTGTGCCTTTCAAAAATAAATTCAGTATCATAAATCTTTTACAGCTCTTGATATGAACAATCTTACACCAAACACTGAAACTCCTCCAAGATACGAACGACCCCGCTACAATAAAAAATCGTACAAAAAACAATACACCACTGATCCCACTGTCACTTATAGTTATACCACTCTAACTCCTAATACCACATCAGGTAACACAGTTTTGGAATGACATATGCCGTTGTATAGAATCTGTGTGATGTTTAGTTATTTTGATAATTGAATGCTTTTAGTAGTCAGCCTTGAATAACATTTAACAGATAGTGTTAACGCAACATTATTTACAAATTTGGTTTCTTCTCATTCTTATTCAAGAATTACTTAAATGTCAATTTCGCGTGAAACACACAGGAGTGTATTTTCTACGATCCTGCGCCAAAGCAGATAGCTGTTGAAGATTTGGATTCACACACACTAGATCAGTGGTTCCCAAACTGGGAGGCGTGAAGCAACATTAAAGGGGGCGTAAGTCTTCTAAAAAATTGATACAAATTTTAAACTTTAAAATAAAAAAATCAGTTAAAATTTAAAAAAAGATGTCTACAATCCGGCAACAGCGCATACCTTAGCCAAAGCAGCTTTGCCATGCGATCATTGCTACAGCGTACGCTCGCTGCCCACTGTCATGCCCATTCTTCCTATTCCAAAGTCCAATTCAGACGAGTTGCAGTGAGTAAATAAAATGTTTTTGTATAATGGGGAAAGGAAGGGGGGCACGACCACTTCTTGATTTCAAAAAGGGGGCGCAAAAGAAAAAAGTTTGGGAACCACTGCACTAGATCAATGGTACTTGATACGCACGTTGCAATTTCTTCCGGTTCCGTGTTTTAAGCTCGAAAAGTCTATGTCTTGTGCCGTTAAAAAGGGACCTTGAGTGCCTTAAGTCGATGGTCATACGTTGGTGGTTGTGGAGACCGTTTTCCAGGGGATCCCCATATACAGGGTGTCCACTTAGTGCGATATCGGACGATATCTCCTTACAGGGTGACGCAAGAAAACAAAATTAAATTACAAAGTTGCTTGATACTCTAATATGCATTAGTTGAAAATATTTTTGAATATACAGGGTGCTCTGTTTATGGAGTATGCGACAGAACTTTGTTATTTTAAATGGAACACCCTGTATGTGATTGCATATTTGGATTCTACGTAAAATTTTGAGCAGATTTCGTTTAATATACCCTATACCTAAGTTCAACTGTTTTGGAAATATTGACAGTTGAAAATTGACTTTTTGCAACTTTGACAGGCTGTGAAACCTAAACGGTTAATTTTGGACGAAAACCGATTTTACATTCCCATCTTAGATTTTTATAAACTATCATTTGACACCAACTTTGAATTTAACCGGAGATTAAATTTAACAGGAATTTTTAATCATGGATTAAATTCAAAGTTAGTGTCAAATGTATATTCAAAAATATTTTTAACTAATGCATATTAGAGTATCAAACAACTTTGTAATTTAATTTTTTTTTTCTTGCATCACCCTGTAAGAAGATATCGTCCGATATCGCACTAAGTGGACACCCTGTATATGCACAGCCTATAAGAAAACCCAGTTGAGTGGTAATAACTTTTGTGTGTTTCGACAACCCTATGGTATCAATTTTCATTTCCATTTCTTTTTGTTTGCGCGATTTTCCAGTCAGTCCAGTTAACTAAATTTAAATACTATTGCGTAAACAAATTGGTCCTTCGGCTGAATTTCTAATTACCTGTTGTCGAAAATAAATTTTAGTTTTTAAAAGTAAGTAATATCTATATAAAATTAAAATAATTTATGCAGGAATTCATTTTTTTCTAAGCATACTCAAAATAGGTACCCAAATCGCAAATACCAGTATTACTAGTTGTCGTCTTTTATTGGTGCTCAAGGCAGAGACACGGAACCTACGCTACGCTGCTATCACAGCTAGTCTTTCCATTTCATTTCAAAGTCTCTCCATTTCATTTCAATTTTCTTTCTCGTTTGTTTGAGTACTTTCAATACAGTACCGCGGTACTACAGTAGTGGTATACGAGACATTGGCCAAGCATCGCACGCCGTTGCTGTGACGATATTTCAGTCGCAGTCGCGAGTCACAATCTTTTCAGAACTGCTCAATTATACTTATAGTCAGGGAGCGCGGTCTATTTACCAATACCAATACATAATAATTAAAAATAAAATTATTTAATTTTTAATTTTCTTTCACTTTACAATTACAATTATTAGAATTTTCATAATAATTAAAATAAAATAAAATTAATTTTTCTAATTTTGACATTTAAAGTGACACTTTTCAAAACTCGTTGACGTTATCAAATGCCTTACTTTTCATCACCGGTTACGAAAAGTAAAATTTTTCGCAACTGGTGATGAAAAGTAAATTTCACCATTAGTTGCAAAAAATACAGGAACAAAATCTGTGATACTTTTGGGGCTGAACTACTTGAAGTACTTTGTTGTTATTATATTCATCGTACGTACATATTATGGAGATTTAATTTTGTTCAAATTAGTTACATAATATGACAATGTATAGAAAAAAAAATAATTATTTATAAATAATAATAAATTAAAAGACTAAAATGATTTTTTTTTCCATGGAAGTCTCTCCAAGGATGTTGGTGAAAATTTTCTGTTTATTATAGTTATGGAATTTTCCACATAGCCCTTAGCGGCTGTATTAGACTTCCACCACAGTTTAACAATACTGGCTTTTATAGCAACGGAATAGGAAACCTCTCTGAACTTACTTGACGGTTTAGAAATAATTATATGTAGAAGTTTGGTAGAAGGGACATTTGAATTTGAACGGATCAGATCCTAATATACAAAATTAGAAAAAATATTGTGTGAAACATGTTGGGAAACACTATTTTTCGTAACACGCTTTCGAAAAATAGTGCTTTTCCCAACTGGTTGCACAAATAACTATTGTTCTAAATTTTATTTTGCTCTACAACTATTACAATTACAATTACCTACAATTTTCAGAATAGTTTGACTGAAACTATTTTACTTTCGACTTTCTTTCTCTTTACATAATAAAAATTACATTAATTTTCACTTACCATGGCACCCACTTCCGAGATTAATAAGTTAGAGGCTAAGAGAAGCGTTTATTTGTCACGCATTACAGAGGTTTGTCGTCTCGCTGTTCAAGCGAAGACGGATAGAAGCATGTTAGGGCAACTTCAGGCCCAGTATAGAGAACTAAAGGATCATTATAAAAAGTTTGGGAAACTACATAATGAAATAGTCATGGAGGTTTCTGAGGAAGGTGATTTCAAAGCTCAAGACAAAATAAGGAAAGACATCGATAATTACTATTCCGAAACAATTTCTATTTACACTCAGATAAATACTCAAGGTACATCGGCGCCGACTGCTCAATCCAACGTTGTTTCATCTATAAAGCTTCCACAAATAAACTTGCCTATTTTCAAGGGTGACCAAAAGCTTTGGCCCTCCTTTTACGACCTTTACAAAAAACTAATTCATGAAAATCCTTCTTTGTCTGATGTAGAAAAATTACAATATCTCTTTGCCTATTTAGAAGATGAAACTCTAAAGCTTTTAGGCGGTATACAAATATCAAATAACAATTATCTAATAGCATATGACAATTTAGTGAAACAGTACCAAAATAAATGCCTTTTGGCTTCAAATGCTATGCATTCAATTATGTCGGCTACCTTGAAAAACGATACCGCTAGGGATTTAAGGTCATTACTAAATTGTTTTTCAGAATCACTAGTAGCTCTGAAAGCTCTTTAGTTTCCCACAGATGAATGGGATTTTGTTTTATTTACATTGCTTTTAGATAAATTAGACATTAATACCCGCACTAATTTGAATTAAAATATAGTGACATCGAAATTCCGACTTACGCAAACCTGTACAATTTTCTTGAAAGCAAATGCAAGGCATTGGAATCTTTACAGCAGAGTTCGTCGAACAAAGCAATAAAACCTAATAATTTCCTTACAAATAATAAATTTTCGCAAAATTTCCAAAATTCCAAGAAACTTAATTCATCTTTTGCACTTTACAACAAAGTTTCCTCAGGTTGTACAAATTCACAAATAAAATGTTACTTATGCAAGGAGCCTCACACCCTTTCAAAATTTTGCAAATTTCTAGAAAAATCGGCAACGGATAGGAATACCTACGTCAAACAGAATAAATTATGTTCCAACTGTTTGCACCATTCTCACAGTGTACAGAATTGTACTTCTAATTTTCGATGTCGTGTTTGCCGCAATAGCCATCATTCCTCCTTGCATATTACGTCGCAATCTTCAGTTCCGTCTGCAAATGTCGCTATTCCTAGCCCCCTGACTATACAGAATGCACAAGGGGAAAATTCAACCACATCACTAACCCTGTGTGCATCTGAAACACTCCAACAACAAGCAGTGCATATTGGTAATGCATTTGCAAAACGAGGTACAGTGCTTCTGGCTACAGCTACAGTGGAAATTCAGGATGGAAATGGGATTTTCCAGCCGATACGTGCACTGATCGACAGTGGTAGCCAATGTCATTTTCTCAGCGAAAAATGTATACGCCGCTTAGGTTTATCAAGACATCACTTCGTCACGTCTATTTTTGGTCTTAACCAAATGTCATCCTTTTCTTCGAATGGGTTGGCGCAGTGCATCATTCGATCACGCAATAATTCCAAAAAATTGTTTTCTTTCGAAGCTGTAGTGGTACCACAAGTTTGTTCCGATATGCCAAGCTTTAACTTGCAATACAAAGATTGGAAACATCTAGAAGGCTTGAATCTAGCAGATGAAAATTATTTCCTTTCAAGTCCTATTGATTTGCTGATTAGGGCAGAGCTTTTTACTCAAATTCTTGGTCAAGGTAGAAAAGTAGGTCAGGTAGGCCAGCCTACCGCAATCGAAACCGTTTCTGGGTTCTACTAGGTAAAGTAGATAATATTTTACATTCAAACTCTCCAAGCTCATTTTTCATAAACTGCGACGTACCCTTAAACGTAAGTTTGTGTAAGTTCTGGGAAATTGAACAAGTTCCTTCAAAAACTCACTTGTCACCTGACGATAAAAAATGCGAAGATATCTTCAAATCTACCACTTCCAGGAGTTCCAGAGGCCGATTTATCGTGTCACTGCCTTTCAAAAATTCTGAACCTGA